TTTTGTTTTTTTCTTTCTTTCCTGTCTTTTTCATGACCTTTTGATTTCTTCGTGTATGATGTGCTTAATGTCATTTCACAGCTCGTCTGGTCTTCACTCTTTAGTGTTCAGTGTGTCAAATCTATTATTGACATGGTCTTTAATTTCAGGTGGGATAGATCCAAGGTCATACTTTGGCTCTCATTGACTTGTTTTAATTTTATTTAGCTTCAACTTGAACTTGCATATGAACAATTGATGGCCTGTTCCACAGTTGGCCCCTGGCTTTGTTCTGACTGATGATATTGAGCTTCTCCATCGTCTCTTTCCACAGATGTAGTCGATTTGATTTCTGTATATTTCATCTGGAGAGGTCCATGTGTAAAGTTGCCATTTATGCTGTTGAAAAAAGGTATTTCCCATGAATATGTCGTTGGTCTTGTAAAATTCTGTCATGCAATCTCTGGCGTCATTTCTATCACCAAGGCCATATTTTCCAACCATGGATCCTTCTTCTTTGTTTCCAACTTTCAAATTCTAATCACCAGTGATTATCAATGCATCTTGGTTCCATGTTTGATCAATTTCAGACTGTAGAAGTTGACAAAAATCTTCAATTTCTTCATCTTTGGCATTAGTGGTTGCTGCATAATTTGAATAATAGTTCTGTTAACTGGTCTTCCTTGTAGGCATATGGATATTGTCCTTTCACTGACAGGGTTGTACTTCAGGATAGATTATGAAATGTCTTTTTTGACAATCAGTGTGATGTCATTCCTCTTCAGTTTATCATTCCCGGCAAAGTAGACCATGTAATTGTCCTATTCAAAACGGCCAATACCAGTGCATTTCAGCTCACTAATGCCTAGGATATCGATCTTCAAGCATTCCATTTCATTTCTGACAACTTCCAATTTTCCTAGATTCATACTTTGTACATTCTACATTCCAATTACTAATGGATGTTTGCAGCTGTTTCTTCTCATTTTGAGTTGTGTCACAACAGGAAATGAATGTCCCGAAAGCTTTACTCCAGACACATCCTTAAGGTTGACTCTACTTTGAGGAGGCAGCTGTTCCCTGGTTGTATTTTGAGTGCCTTCCAACCTGAGGGGCTCATATTCCAGTACTATATTCGACAATGTTCTGCTGTTATTCATGAGGTTTTCAATAGCCAAAGTTTTTTCAAAAGTAGATTGCCAGGTCCTTCTTCCAAGTCTTCCTTATTCTGGAAGCTCCACTGTAAACTTGTCTACCATGCAGGACCCTACTGGCATTTGCAATATTGGTGGCATATCTTCCAGCAACACAGCAACGTGCAAACCACCACAGTATGACAAACTGACAGATGAGTTATCTTGACCTAATTATAGCAAATACTAAGTGGTGGCTTTCAAACAGTGATGGTTTACAAACATAAATTTGATTCTCCCTGAGGGTGCAAATGTTGAGTCCCTTCTTACTCCTGACACCCAGTAGAGTGGCTTCTATAGTATTGTTCTCTGGTTCCTCTTCTGGAGGCAAACAATGGAGGCATAGGAGGCAGAGTCAATTCTGTAAATAGTAACTGAGGGCCAACTACCTGTAAGGAGCTCAGGTAGACACTGAGAAACAACATTGTTAATTACATTTATAAATATTGTATAAAAAGGCAAGTAATGGAGATGTGGATTGGAGTTTTCTAGACCACTAAGAAAAGTTCTTACAATTCTGTCTTAAAGTTCTTGTTATGAAACACTTTCTATTATTATGTCTGAAACCAGTATTGTGAAACAATGCTGACAGCATATCTTTGAATTAAATGAGCACATTACCAAATGTTCGTTTGTCTTTCAGATTTAACAATTATTACACTAAATCACACTACTTCCTTGAAACTGCTCACCTCAAAGACACAATAAATAATGTTTAAGTTTATATTCTACTAAATCTATGAATCAGACAAATACGATGTCCAGCTTTTCAATTAATTTAATTATGGAAAATTTAGAAGGAAATAAAATACTTAGAAATATGAACTTCCAATTGTATAACTAAGAAAACATTTCTGACATTATCTATATGTGGCAGGTTTTGAATTTACCCCCGTCTGTATAGAAAGACGTTTAGAACAAATATCTACTCTTCAATTCTTCTCTTACCCCTCATCTGAGTAGATTTTATTTATGCATTAGTCGACCTTTTCGGCCATTAGAACCATCTTGTTTCAGCAGTTAATTAACACAAGTACCATAATTTAATACAGTTAATGCTACTTGATGCTCTTTAATGTACCTTCCATTAGTGATATTATTGTAGTATTACCCTGTAAATTAAAATGAGATCAAGACTAAGAGAGCTGCTCTTTAATTAAGGTGCTGGCACACTGCACTTGTCTATTATTCATTAGAGAAAATCATCCTGATTTACTGAAGCAGGACATCCGTAAGTCAGAAGTAGTTCATGAAGATTATTAGGTTTATTGAACAATGTAAGTACTATGAAGTCGCTGAGATTTCCAACAGCTGTGTTTCCTCTTTTTCTGCCATTATGTTAATAAATACACAATGAGAGAAAGTAAGTGGAAGCAAAATAAGTACATGGCAAAAGGGGACTAAAATTTTTATGATAAGATTATAGTTTTTTGTCACCAAGAAAATAGGTATCAGAAGTGTCACATGCCCAAAAGAACATAAATGCTACATTAGTTTAGTAACAAGTAGAACATCATTATTACACCAAACAAGACTAGCCAGTATAAAACATAAAGGCTGTGTATACATGTGCACACACACACACACACACACATAGATACACACACACATAAAACAGTGAATTTGAATGTAAGCAAAGACTCTCTAACTATTTTTGTTTTGTACCTTAATACTTCAAGGTAAAAAAAATCCTGTATTCTCTGTCATTAGTCCATGGATATTTATGTCCCATCTCCATCCTCTTTCCCAGAATAACTCATGTCAATTCCCACATTATGGTGGGGCAGGAGGAGTGACAAGTAGAAAAACATCATTATCATTATCAGATGAAGACATGTAAAGTCATGTAGAAAAGTTGCAATCATTTTCCAGTGGGATGGTAGGGGGTGCCAGGAAATAAATACCACATTTATATTTATGATATTCTTGAAATGGAGCCTTTAGAACTTTTTTTTTCCAGAGACCATAAATTAGTATTCAATTCTACTGTAGATTATTTTCTATTGTTAGAAAAACAAACAAACTTAGACTGTTACTCCTACTGAAATTATCAATGGTAAAATCATTATATCTATGCTAAAAGACCCTTGAACCAGGCAACAGCTCAACATTTCCCTGTAGTGGCTCCATCATGAGCAGATCTTCTCTGTATAGCTTAAAAGCTGGAGACACGTCCCAGCCATCAGGTCTTGCTCCTTTAATCCCTCCCCTATGACTAAAAATACCCAGACCATCTGGTGCCTAGCGCAGCACATGCCAGCATCAGTTTCACCCTGAGGAATTTGGACAGAGTTTGGAAGTGACAGAGTGGGACCTTATGGAAGGGGCTCACCTCGTTTGGACCTTTCTCCCTTGCCCAGCTGCTTCCTCAACAGCTTACAGTTGACTGGTGAACAAGAAAGGACAGTGGAGTTGAGTCCAGACAAGGGAGGAGGGCTCCTCCAAACTCCTCAGAACCACTGAAATGCAGTTGGAAGACACTACTAGGTTGAAGGACAGAAGAAAAGCAGTCCACATGATGAGATTCTACATTTCTAACATCACCCTTAAGAGCAGGGACCTCTTCTTTCTCTTATCGCAGAGATACAATAGCACTGTTACCAAAGATAGGTTGAGACAACATCCGAAAAGGCCAGGAAGTCTCAACTCCTCTCCAGTTTCTAAGGACTGGGCTGCCCAAAGGGATGCTAGAAGTCACTAAATTTAACAAAGCCTGCCTTATCAGCTTAAATTTTATGAATACTTAATTCAAGCTACATGATTTATACATCACTTATATTCTTATCTTCATATATCTTGATTTAAAGCTATCTTTGCATTTTTGGAGTAATTATTGATTTTCTTTCCCTTTTTCCCATATTGCTGTATACTCTTACCTTTAGTTTTCCTTACTCATTATCTCAGGCTTTGACTTCCATCATTTCATTATTTTGATACACCACATGTGAAAATCTGGTTGTAGACCTCTATGTAGGTGGTCTGGGTTCTCATTGTTCAAGTCTTTCATTAAACCTCTTCAAAATTCTTGGAAACTTGTTTAATTGTGTCTCTGGTATATTATTAAAACCAAAGACATCCCTGATTGTGACCATTAATGGGCTCAAACTTTAGTCCCTGGTCCATCTCTAATTCACCTACACAATGAAGAGGGCTTGACTCAGGTGCATATTTTAAATGGTAGTATATATATTTTCAGATAATAATATCAAAAACTTGAGAAGTAGACTTTGCTCCTCTTTAAAAATTGCATTGTTTCCTAGATATTTTTGGTACTTCTTTAATAAATTTGAAGAAATATAGCTTTCATTTCTGGAATATTTTTGTGCAACATAAAAAATCATAAGCAGAGAGTTGTATAATGTTGAAACCCTCTCTTAGGAATACAGTAGACTCAGGAGTGAGGTTGAGGAAACAAAGAAAGTCGTTGGTCAACGTTCCCTTGCATTTGGAAACAATGATATGTTTCTTGTTTTTCACTCCCTTATAGAACGACCAGCTCTGCTCCCCTTGGCTTCACTGCCTTAAGAATTTAAACCACCTCCTGACCCAGGAAGTTCCTTTGCCTTGAATAAAATGCTTATTATTATTATTATTATTTGCCCTCGTTTAAATACTAAGGAATCCTGCTGATTTTTCGATAGCAAGTCTGGGATTACAAATTACTGCTGAGTAAGAGGAGTCTCGAATGCCTTCAGTGTACCTCTAGGCTGCTGTTCCTGGGAAAATGTTTCAGTAGAAATCGATACATGACACTCTACAGCCGTGGGACCAACACACTGACATTTTCTTTGGACACACCCATTCCCTTTCAAGTCAGAGTTCTCTTACCTTCCTTGTACCTTTATGTCTGAGATGGCATAAAAGTAGCGTGCCAAGTGCTGCTCATCTACAAATATTTCCCCGATGGCTGGTCTCAAAAGCCTTATCCTCAGGTCTGTGACTGTAAAGAAATCTCTGAGTTTCTTGGTTGTATCCAGCTGTCCATAAAGGGAAGCCATATTGCGTAGCCGAGGTCCAGCAAAAAATGCGAACCTGTCTTTGATTTCAAAGTTGATTATTTTGCTATTTGTCATGTACCCCGTGGAGTACTCTTCTGTGCAAATGATTTCTAAGACTGTGTGCTGTGATAAATCCTTCACGGATTTAGGATCCATGTGAAAGGCATCTAAGCAGTCTGTGGCATAATACTGATAGGGCTGCCATGTTCGTCCGTAATCGAGAGATTTCTCCAGGATCATTTGGTCTGGACGTCCAGATTCAAAGGTAATAATTATGTTGTCTGTGAGCTCAATGGTTTTGCTCCAAGACAGAGTGATGTTAACCTGGAGAGGCTTGGGATATTCCTTCCAAGTAGCAGACTGCCAAAATGTGGAGGGATGTCTTCCTTCAAAATCAAACATCAGCTCAGGGGGATGTGCCAGCTCAGGGGTGCTTGCATCACACTCATTATTGCACATGTAGGGGTTGCCCTATGGAAGAAGAACAAAAGAGGGTGCATTAAAACACTGGGTTGACACAAGTCTTGCCAGATTGCTATTGCTGAGTAAGAGGCTAGGAAGGAAGGAAAAAAAAAAAAAAACCTGTTTGCAATAATCATTTTTTATTTGCTCTAACTGGATTCTCTTCTTTAATAGCTTCAAAAAAAAAAAAAAAAAGCAATATGGCAATTTTCTTGTCTTGTTTCCTTTCATAGACTTTAAGAAATGAAAACAGTTTATTTATCTCATATGTGTTAGACCCATAATGTGGTCACAGAAGCACAAAGACATTGAGCAACTGTCTAACAGCTCAATACCTCCGCCTCCTCTTGGAAAGATGCTGTGGAACAGCAGAGGAAATTTCTCTCTGCCTCAAGGACAGTCCTCAAGAGCACAGTTCTTTCAAAAGTCATTTTTCAAGCAAAGCTTTAGAATTAGCAATGAACTGTACCTACCTGTGTCCCGTTTAGGAAACAATACCCCCATACAACATTCAGCTTCTCCTCGCTTTGCCTCAAATCCATCATACTTAACTGGGTCCCTGCTTCATAAAGTCTGCTTTTAAAGCATTTATTTTGTTCACCACAAATCATTAAAATATGGTACACTACAGGCTCTGGGGCTTGGTCCAAACACCTGCCAACCTATTAGCTAGAGACAAGGGGATTGCTCAGGAAACACTTGGTGGTGGGGGTGAGGGGTGTGCTTCAAGTTATCAAGACGGGAAAATCCACTACTCAGGAGGATGTCACGAAGAGTCACAGCCACTTGATGTGTTACTCTGTCCCCGGCCCACATCCATGGATATTAGCCATTATTGTTATTCTCCCTCTCACAAAGGCTACTTCTTTTACCTTCTATTCAAATAAAAAGCTGGAAATCAAATCTCTTTTCTGTATCAAAACAAGTCGTAACACCACTTATGCTACACTAAATGACTACTCTCAGCTTTCATCAGTGGATTGTGGGGAAAAATGAGTGGTTCCTAGATTTTCATTTATTTTGTTTTTAAGAAAACAAATGGTTTCATTTGGAGACAATTGATCAGGTATTTCTCCCCTACCCTGTACTAGGTAATTATGACATGGATGGGTACAACAATTGATCCTCTGACCCTCTGCCCTTAGGCTTTCTCTTGTAATTACGCTTAGAATTGGTTTTTTTTTTTTTTTTTTTTTTTTCCTTTTCCATGAACTAAGAGTTTTTCATCATACCTGCAGGATGCATGAACTGGGTCTCAGATAATGAATTTACCTTGGATGTTGATACTCAGTTACCGGCTGACTCCTGTGAAATGTAAGACGAACACTGGAGCATTGCTTTGGCCTCCCTAGAGGCAATTTTCTCCTACCTAGTCAGCTAATACTCTCTCTCTCTCCCATTAATGCAACTGAATCCTGATACTGGCAACAGGTTTGGGGAACTCAAGTATAATTGAGATGGGGTAGGAGAAAGGAGAGAAGGTACATTATTTGAGAAACAGAACTGTTTTAAAAATACGTTCAAGGCATCTGTGGTAATGGAAATGTTTCTGTACTTTCCTCTCAAATTTCAATTCCATATTCCTGATCCCAGCGTCTGTGTCACTATTTATAGTATCCCCTCCAAAACACGCTAAAGGGGGAAGATAAGTTTCTGTTCCAGGTGGAATAAATCACCAAATTTATTATTATTTAAACTCTCTTAAGCATGCCGGGGAGCCAAAAGCAAAGCTCTGCAAACTGGCAAAGGCTTTTTATGGAGGGCTATAAATATTGTGGAATCTGTCAGGATTTATGAATTCTAAATATATGCAAATGCGCACTTTACTGGAAGGGGTCAGGTTTACACAAATCACACCTTCATTTGCAATTTACTGAAAAATATGGTTACTTCAAAATCTGTCAGCATGTAACCATCTGCACAATCATTAACCACCTTCCCCCTGACAAAAGCGTCTTCATTTGAGGTCAGGGGTATCGAAACACAGGGAAGCAACTCTGCAGAATACACCAAAGTAAGTTATCAGACATTCGCATTAAGTACTGCTGAAAGACAGCATTTGCTCATCTTCAGTACAGGTGCACAGAGCTTCTCAGCTGGGACAGGGAGCTATGATGAGAGGAGGAAGAACACAAGGCTGATTTGGGGAATGGGTCTCTTATGGATTGAATTGTGTCCCTTCAAAATGTGTTAGAATCCTAACCTCTAGACTTGTGGATGTAATCCTGTCTGGAAATAGTGTTTTCCTTGTTATATTAATGAGGCCACATAGGTGTAGGGTGTGCCCTAAACCTAATACTTCTGCATTATAAAAAGAGCAGATTAGACACAGAGGCACGCACAAAAGGGGGAAGACAAACTCCATGCGAGGATCCTCTACAAACCAAGGACCCAAGGAACATCTAGGGCTACAAACAAGGAAGAAGTCAACACTGCTGAGACTCTAATTTGAATTTTAGCCTACAGAAGTGAGAAAATAAGTTTCTGTTATTTAAAACCATCCATTTGTGGTATTTCTGTTACAGCAAAACTAGGAAACTAAGACAGAGGCACTACTAACAAACTGCTGTCTTAGAAAATATGCTAAAAGAAATCTATCTAAAAGGCAGTCATTCCTACATTCAATAAAGGGTGTTGATAATAACCACCATTTATTATTTATTATGTGCCAGACATCTTACACACATATAATGGGTAATCTTTACATAGTCCTATAAGTTAGGTATTACCATCTTAACCTTACAGAAGAGGAAACTGAGGCATACAGACGTGTAAACAAATTTGCCCAAGGTCTCAGAAAGCAAATAAAAGGAAAAACCAGGATGCCCCCTGCTCCAGTCTGTTCAACTCCAAAGTCAATGCAATTCCCTAGGATGCAATCCAGCCTTAGAACCTAGGTTGGCTGATAGAAGGGAAGGGTCTAAGACCAAATGAGTTTGGGAAACACAGCATAAGATCTCCTTGTTTGGAGAGTCTTCATGAGCATTACCATACGCCTGAGATGCCTTGATGTTAAGAACCTTGCTTATCTTCATGTTATATCTACTTTTCTAAGTGTATTTGACCATGGAGTTCCTTTGTGGTTTAACCCTTTGCTGTAGAGTCGATTACAACTCATAGTGACCCTATAGGAGTAGAGTAGAACTGCCTCGTAGGATTTCCAAGGCTATAATCTTTATGGAAGAAATACAGCCAGAATGCTCCTTAGAAGCAAGGATGGCGAGACTTTGTCTCACTTACTTTGGACATGTTATCAGGAGGGACCAGTCTCTGGAGAAGGACATTATGCTTGGTAAAGTAGAGCATCAGTGAAAAAGAGGAAGACCCTCAACAAGATGGATTGACACAGTGGCTGCAACAATGGGCTCAAACATAGCAATGATTGTGAGGCTGGTGCAAGACCGGGCAACATTTCATTCTGTTGTACATAGGGTAGCTATGAGTTGGAACCCACTCGATGGCACCTAACAACAACAACAACAACAATCTTTATGAAAGATGACTGCCACATCTTTCTCCTGCGGCACGTCTGGTGGGTTCGAAACACTGCCCTTTGGGTTAGCAGCCGAGGGTTTAGCCACTGCGCCATCAAAGCTCCTTCTCTTTGGTTTAGTAGCCCTTACTTGTATCCGATAGAAGTAGTCTTGGACAGCATCCTTTGGGATTCTCTGCTCTGTATTACTCTTAAAATTGCGGATATACGCCTAGTGGCATAGTGGTTAAGAGCTACGGCTGCTAACCAAAAGGTAGGCAGTCCAAATCCACCAGGCGCTCCTTGGAAACCCTATGGGGCAGTTCTACTCTGTCCCATAGGGTCGCTGTGAGTTGGAATTGACTTGACGGCAATGGGTTAAGGATCCCTGGCAGCACTGTGGTTAAGGGCTAGGCTGCTAACCAAAAGGTTGGCAGTTCAAACCCACCAGCTGCTCCTTGGTAGAAAAGGATTTTGCTCCCATGAAGATTACAGCCTAGTAAACCCTACGGGGCCATTCTACTCTGTCCTATAGTGTCATTATGAGTCTGACTTGACTCGACGGCAATGGGTTACAAGTGAGAATCAACTTGATGGCACATAGCAATAACAATAGGAGCACTACACAACCTAAAGTTTTAGTCTGTTAGTGAAGATACGGCCCGTAAAGCACTGTGTCTGCTTTTGTTCCACAGGAGCACTCTTTCATTGGCGATCAGGATGGATGTTTACAGCAAACAAGAATCAGACTCTCGGCCTTCTGAATGCATGCCAAGACAAAGAGAAATTTTGCATTGGTTTGCACAGATCTAATATTTTAGGCACCTGAAAAATGAGAGAAAAGCCACATGCATTCAACCACTATTTATTGAGTAGTATTACTGTATTTGTCCCTGGGTGGTGCAAAGGGTTAACATACTTAGCTGCTAACTGAAAGGTTGGAGATTCAAGTCCACACAGAGGTGTCTCAGAAGAATGGCCCTGCAGTCTACTTTAGAAAAATCAGTCACTGAAAAACCTATGGGGCACAGTTCTCCTGACACACATAGGGTTGCCATGAGTCAATGGCAACTAGCTGGCTGGCATTAAAAAACAAAACAAAACTAAAAAGCAAACCCACTGCTGCTGGGTAAATTTCGACTCATAGCAATCCCAAGGACAGAACAGAACTGTCCCATAGTGTTTCCAGGCTATAATCTTCACAGCAGCAGACTGCCACATCTTTCTCCCTTGAAGAAGCTTGCCAACCTTGCCAACCTTTCTGTTAGCAGCCGAGCGCTTAACCACTGCACCACCAGGACTCCTTGGCTGGCATTACTGTACTATTATTATACTATCCATAAAAAGACCAAACTAGCTGCTGTCGGGTCTCTTCAGACTCATGGCAACCCCATGTGTTACACAGTAAAATTAATCGCTCCATAGGGTTTTCTTGATGGTTATCTTTATGAAAGCCGACCACCAGGCCTTTCATCATGGTGCAACTGGGTGGGTTTGAACCACCATCTTTTAGGTGAGTAGCCAAGAGCAAATTATT